AGAGTAGTAGAGAGACGAGAGAGAGTACACGAGGAGAAGGTAGAGACGAGAGAGTAGAGACGAGAGAGAGAGAGAGAGAGAGAGAGAGAGAAGAAGAGAGAGAGAGAGAGACTGGGTGGTGTGATGCCCAACATTTTGAACACTTAGATGAAGACTATAGAGAGGAGGTTTGTGGCTTCTCTTGAGTCAAGTTCATTCCCAAGCAACAGATGGGTGGGACCCACAGCGACATGAGGCTTGTGGGAGATTCTCTGTTGGATTTGTCGCCAAAGCATTCTCTTCAATACCACCTCCCATCTCCTCACCGGGGTGGTTGGCTGGTTTGCTACACCCTATTTCCTCCCAAAGTGTTGTGCTTTGGATGGCATGTGAAAATTAATAAGATTCTCATAGATAATTGTCTTCAGCATAGAGACTTCTAATGTTCCAACATTTTCATGTGTCGTGATGCAGAGGAAACTTTGAACCCCTCTTCATCCCTTGTGGTTGCACTAGAGACATTTGGAGATGCCTTTGGGGGCTTTTTGAGTGGTTGCATCTCTCCATAGTGGCAGAACTAGTTAGTGACTGGAGCTCCTCATGTTTCCTCCAAAAATGAAGGATGATGTTTCTCAATTGTTCGATTGCTGTATTAGTTGGAAAAAGACATGAGTCTTTGAAGGTATACATTCACATGCCTCCCAAATGTGTAATCAAATTAGAGACACCCATTGTGTCTTGGGCCTGACCCAACAAGGAATTTCGAGGTTTCTAAATGTAGGGTCTAATCTGGAATTGAAGGGTTGTGATCACTATCTGGGTGCCACATCCATGCCTCTATGCTGAACTTTGATGGGAGTTCTTTGGGCAACCCTGGTCCATCAGGGACTCGGGGGAATGTTCAGGGATCAGTTAGATACCACTCTGTTGGCTTTGTCGACCCTCTGGTATAGAGGATGTGACCGCAGCTGAGGCACTTGTACTTATTGCTGGTCTGAAGGAGTCATATCACTATGTATTGGGTTTTGTAATTGTGGAAATTGATTCACTAAATATGATTAAATCGCCAAAGGTGATGACATGCTCTCTTGGAGGTTGGCTGACTTCATGGAGGAGATCCAAGAATTGAACACAGGTGGTGGTATGATTTCCAACATGTGCTAAAATTTCTTGATAAGATGGCTGAGACCTTTACTCTCAGCCATATCATCTCTCTCTCTCTCTCTCTCTCTCTCTCTCTCCCCAATAACTATATGCCTTAGTTTGTATGTTCCAATGTTTAAAGACTTACTCTCAGTGGACTCGCGTGTACTGACTCGCTTTGGATCCTGATGGCTCCTGTGGAAATATCACAATACACATCTGATTCTGCCACTTTTCAGAACTTATAGTGCCTTTTCACCAGCGTTACATACATACTGACATGAGTTTCTTGTCTAGTACGTATCTAAAGAATCTAGTACTCTGACCTAAAAAGCTAGTACAACAAGATACATTCGTACGAAATTATTTTGAATAAAAC